CATGGCAAGGTAAATGGCATTCATTTGTTTTTATTTCCTAGTCTATACTTTTTGGCATCCTCTTTTCTTTAGTAGTTCCTGTTGTTGTTTATTTTATTTAATTCTATATTTTGTATTTATACTTCAATCTTTCTAATATTTTTCTGTTGGTCACTTGGCAGACAACCTTATTGGACCATATCCGGAAGAGCAAGGTAAATAGGGCTTGTATGATACTCTAATTTCTCCCTTGACATGCATTTGACTTTTACTGCTTATTTTGCAATGACCTTAGTGGTACATACATGATTTGGGATCTTCGTTATTTTTGGTAAACTTATACACTTGTTTTGGTAGTTTGGTAATAGTATATTGAATGTCCACATAAACTATGGAGCTTTGTGGAATTGGTGCTAATAAACTGGTATGTATTCACAGGTTGCTGCCTCAGAGGCTGGTGGAATTACACAAGGAATTGGGGCATATAAGGTGCTTGTGCCAATTGATGGAAAGTTGCAATCATGTGTTTTCCTTGATACTCCTGGACATGAGGTACATTCAGTTCCTTGTAAACATATGGAAAACTCTCTCTCTCTCTCTCTGCATTTAAGCTCCTTGTTTTATGTTTATTTTTCTGGATACGAGTTCTTTAACTTTCCTGCACTTCTATTTCCTTTAGATGATATCTATTATATCTAATTCCTGTAGGCATTTGGTGCAATGAGAGCTCGTGGAACAAGGGTGACAGACATTGCTATCATTGTAGTGGCAGCTGATGATGGAATCCGCCCTCAAACAAAAGAGGCCATAGCTCATGCTAAAGCTGCAGGAGTGCCAATAGTAATTGCTATAAATAAGGTATATCAAATACAGGGGTAGTTTTATCTTTTAACTTTTTATTTGAATAAAGAAAAGGAAAGAATAGATGTTTTTCTTGCATTGCATGTGGCATCCCAATTTGTTGAATCTCAATTTTATTTATTCTAAACGTATCAGATAGACAAGGATGGAGCCAATCCAGATCGAGTCATGCAAGAGCTTTCTTCTATTGGTCTAATGCCAGAGGACTGGGGTGGTGACGTCCCAATGGTCCAGGTTGGTGTTTCATTCAGTGAAGTTGTGCTTGCATATTTCATTTATGGTTTATACCCCTTCTGAATGCTTTTTTTTGCGTGGGTGAACAGATTAGTGCTCTTAAAGGGAAGAATATAAATGAGCTTTTGGAGACTGTTATGCTAGTTGCAGAGGTAAGTCAGATGTCTATGAACGTTGACGTATTAGCTGTTCTCCTCCTTGTATGCTAACCTTTTGCATGATTGTTCTAGTTGCAAGATTTAAAGGCAAATCCCCATAGAAGTGCAAAAGGCTCAGTCATTGAGGCCGGTCTTCATAAATCTAAAGGACCTGTAGTTACACTTATAGTGCAAAATGGAACCCTCAAACAAGGGGACATAGTAGTTTGTGGAGGAGCGTTCGGAAAGGTTGGTGGATAACAATTTTGAAATCTGAGCTCTTTTTCTTATATCTAGTCCACCTTTATGTGGCTCAAATGGCAACCTTTTGACTAACATGAAGGACTCTTTGTAATGGCCACGGTTAGGTGCGGGCCTTGTTTGATGATGGTGGAAATCGTGTCAATGAAGCTGGACCCTCTATACCTGTTCAGGTTGTTGTTCATATTCTTCTTCTTGTACTTTTTGTTTTAATCTTCTATAATTATTTTTCTGTTCTTTTAAGAGTGGCTTAATTCAAAAGTTTTGGTGGATCAAGTGGATCCAAATATCTAATTTTCATAGGGGAAAACTTGTTAGAAATTCATTGTAGGGGTTCTAATTGGAGAAATAGAAGGTGACATTTGCAAGATACTTAAAGTGATGTAAGTATATAGATAATTAGATATTGAAATTTTGCGAGCTGTTTGCAATTTAAGTGATAAATCAGTCAGCAACGTTTTTGTAAGTACATTGAATTGTCAACTGTAACCTGGGTTCCTTTCTAGTTTCTGTTATAAAGACAACAGATATGGAATTTGGGTTTTCCAGATGCTGTGACAGCTTTTGAGTTATAATTTTGCATAAATCAATTTGGCTCTTGACATGCAATTGTTTGCAGTTGTGCATGTTTATTATTTTGGTTTTCTAGATTCTGTGACTGCTTTTGAGTTATAATCTCGTGTATATCATTGTGGCTCTTGGCTTGCAACTGTTTGTATTGGTACATGTTCATTATTCCTCTGCAAGGTAAACAGCACAGCTGTCTCTAATTGTTAATGTTTGTAACATCACTGTAAACACGTTTGATGTGGTACAGCTTTCTCTGGTCATTAATAGCAGGTCTACATATTATTCATTAAAGCTTATATAAGCAGCAATTTTATCCACTGTCTAGAAGTTGCTTCCACATATAACTGGAAATTTTCAAAAGATATTTTATTATGCCCTCTTTGTGGCATGATACTTGTTTTAGTGCCCTGAATGACAATCTCTGTGTCTACTTGTAGGTTCTTGGATTAAATAATGTTCCTATTGCTGGTGATGAATTTGAAGTTGTCAGCTCCCTTGATATTGCACGTGAAAGGGCAGAGTTGCGTGCTGTGTCATTGCGAAATGAACGTATATCAGCTAAGGCTGGCGATGGCAGGGTTACTCTTTCTTCCTTAGCTTCTGCAGTCTCAGCAGGAAAGCTGTCTGGACTAGACTTGCACCAGCTAAATATTATTCTGAAGGTTGATCTTCAGGTATGCATATTGAATTAATTGTCATCAGTCAATAATTAGTTTGGTAACTGGTTCTTTGGTAATCAGTATTTATTAAACGAGAGTGTTAATTATATCATAATTCATGTGTCATGTTTAGGGATCCATCGAGGCTGTCAGACAAGCCCTGCAGGTGCTTCCACAAGATAATGTCACCTTGAAGTTTCTCTTGGAAACAACAGGGGATGTAAGCACCAGTGATGTTGATCTTGCTGCTGCTAGCAAAGCCATAATTTTTGGATTCAATGTCAAAGTACCAGGATCTGTAAAAAGCTATGGTGATAACAAAGGGGTTGAGATTCGCTTATATAGAGTTATATATGAACTCATTGATGATGTACGAAATGCAATGGAAGGACTTCTAGAGCCTGTTGAGGTATCAATCAACTTAAGCACCAGATCTCTTTGGTTTTATGAAGGCATTGAAATTTAGGGGCTTAAAGTTGTTGGAGATTTCAGACTGAGATTTGCAATTGATATTATCACTTGTGTATCGACAGGAACGAGTAACAATTGGATCAGCAGAAGTCCGCGCCATATTCAGCTCTGGTAGTGGTCGTGTTGCTGGATGCATGATAAATGAGGGAAAAGTTGTTAAAGGCTGTGGCGTTGAGGTCATTCGAAGGGGAAAAGTAGTACATGTTGGCTTTCTTGATTCATTGAAACGGGTCAAGGAAGTTGTGAAAGAGGTATTTTTTATAGTTTACTTTAATTGTATGGGTCTTTTTGTCAAATTATAGAAAATTGCAAAAAGGGGAGCAACTAAGTGCATGGGAACTGTAAAATAGATATACCTTAAAAGTCACAACCTAGCGCATGTTGCATACCTCCGGATCTGCGGTCAGCCTGGATTGCAAAGTATTTGTCTCTTGCACAAATAGCTGAATGATAAAACCTATGGGCTATGGCTTCAGTTGTGTTCATGCTTTGTAGGTGTGTCTGCATTTTCATTGTGGCATAAAAGGTTTAGTTCATGATACTATATATTGTACAAGTTAGTGAATACACGAATTGTGGCATAAAAGGTTTAGTTCATGATACTATATATTGTACAAGTTAGTGAATACACGAAAACTAATAATTAATTTCGATCAAAGTACATACTTGGTGACATCTTCAGCTTTGGCAGAGGATTTTCTAGCTTATTTTTATAATTTTGTTTCTGGCGTTCCCTTAAATTGACTTGAAGTTTTCGTGGTGATCCCGTGTTCAGAATTCTTTTGGCATTGGCATATGCTTTAATGTCTTCTGTTTGCAATAATCTGCAATTTCTCCTCTTGGCTAGGTAAATGCTGGACTAGAGTGTGGAATTGGAGTGGAAGACTACGACGAGTGGGAGGAGGGAGATACTCTTGAGTTCTTCAACACAGTTCAAAAGAAGCGGACACTTGAAGAGGCGTCTGCTTCAATGGCAGCTGCAGTGGAAGGAACAGGAAGAAAGGTGCAAGATTGAAGAATCTGCTTTTGCGCGTGTTTTGACGGAAGCAAAATACGATCACCCTCAATCCGGCATACCACTATGATCAGTGCCTCGACAGGTTTGCGTCGGTCCGTACCCGCATGTGCATTTAATTTGAGTGTGAGTTGCCAAGGATCTACTGCAAAGATGAATGTACCCTTGTCTTGTATGGTATTACACTGTATATAATTCATACAATGTAGATTTGAGCTTGTTTTGTAAAGAGAGGGACATTCATCAAATTCCGTACAGTTCCAATTAGGGGAAGAAGAGCACTTGTAACACACAACGTTAAAGTTTCAATCAAAAGTCACAAAATTCTTTTTGATGCTCTGGCCTTGATGCAGCACATCGCTCTGGCCTTGATGCAGCACATCGCACATTCAGGTCAATGGATGTACTTTGAAAATGTCATCTTGCACCCTTCCGTTCTACAAAATTTCCCTTGTAGTGTATCGTGATTATTTGAAGTGCTAACAACACTGTTTCAAAGGATATGGATGATTATAGTTGAAAAACTGATGTACATTTCTTCCGTCGTGTCAAATTGTATTTGATAATGAACGTGGGTGTTGCAGATGCGTGTTAGATTAGCTAATCAAAATGATCTAATGCATATCTACGATGCCCACGTTATAAAAAGATAAGATTTTAGTGGAGAAATCAAGCCAAAAATACAAAGAATAAAAAACAACTTAGAGAAAAAAACAAAGCGGCTTGAGAAAAGATTAACGTGCCACGTGGCATAATCTACAGTTCCAGAAAAGCGATGATCACCTTTGTCGTTCCCCGGCCAAGAAATTTCAAAATTCGAAAAAAAAGGCAACGGTCATTTGACACCCATTTGCCTCCGAAAAGCGTAACGCAGAGAGATGGAATGCGCCAACGAACGAGAAATTAACGCCTTTCCTTCTCTGTTCGTTCAGATTCAAATTTCCTACTTCATTTACCTTTTTGGGGTTCTCCAATAAAGATTCATCGTCGTCATCATCACAGTCGCTGATTACTTCAATTCTAAACGACAGTGTTTTCAGCAGCAGAAGAACATTCGGCACTTTTCAATGGAGGAGCAGCACCAGTGCGACTCTCCTCTGAACAGCTCCACTTCCGCCGCCAACTCTAACTCCGACTGTAAGTATGCAACTCAACTACCCAGGATTTCAGTTTCATGGGTTCTTCTATAATTACGTGACTGCCCCTCTCTTGTGCTTTGGTAGACACTTCGCTTTGCTCGCAATTGCAGAGCTTGACAATGGTGGATCCGGATTCTTCCTCTTACAATGCTGATTCAAACGAAGGTAATTTCATATAAAAAAACCAACCTTTTAGTTCTTTTTGGTTTCTCAGTATTTGATTTCGGTTTTTTGCTGGACCCCCTTTGTGGGAATTGAATTATGTGTCTGTTTGTGGAGTTGGATATGCTTTTTACTCTGATTCAGTCAAGAACACGAAACCCGATTAGTTCGTAGGATCGTAACAGCTCTAGTGATTTCGGTTTCTTGATTTTAGTTGGTGTAGATTGCTCTCGGGAAAATTATGAAAGCACAGAAGCCATTAGTACACCAAAAATCAGGGACCCAGATGCAAATGATTGTAAATGAAACTAGTCTTTCCTTTTTTCTATCACAAAATTTGGCAAAAAAATCTTGGATTTGACTTCAGAGTTTTATAGAATTTGATTTTTTTTACTTGTATTTTCAGCCCGGTCCATGATGGGGTTTTCGCTTACCTCTCCTGATTTAGTGATCTGTGCCGGGTCACCCGATATACCCCAAACCAGCTATGGAGATTCCCCCGAGTTCTTGGAAAGCAAGTTCCATCAGAAGATGGATTCTTCTATTGAGCTCTCTTTTGAGAATGGAATCGATGAGGCTCATGTTAGAGATATGCATAAAACTCCAACTGTAAAGTTCTCCACGACATTGTGCCAAACTTTTAAGGAAGATTTGTCTCCTGAAGCTTCATTTGAGCTTCTTCCTGCTCCGGCGACTGAGAACAAGTTGAAGGAAGGTTCCCTTCCTGATATGAGCAACAATGCAGGTTGCACTGATGAATTCATAGGCGACGATTCTCAAATGGAAGACTGCGGATCATTAAAAGTAAAGCTTCTTAAACATCCACTCTTCGAATGTAGTTTAGCTGCAAAATAAATTAGGATGTTTAGATACTCTCCGTAAATTATCCCATTGCAGGTGACTGGTGAGACCAACGAAGAAGGAGACTATCATAAGCTGCTAATAAGTTACGAGAAACAGAAAAAAGAATTACAAGAGATGAGGAGTGCAATGGAGGAGTTGAAAAAGCAAAACTATTCCAAGAGTAGAGAATGCCAAGAAGCTTGCAATTCATTGAAGGAACTCCAAAATGAACTCATGCGCAAGTCTATGCATGTTGGATCTTTGGGTATGGTAACAATACCCTGTGCCTCTGAACAGTTTGAACAATCTGAAAACATGGTACATTGATGCTTGTGTGTTGCAGCCTTCGCCATCGAGGGACAAGTGAAAGAGAAGAGCGGATGGTTTTCATCATTGAGAGATTTGACGAGAAAACTTAAGGTACTAAGTTGTAAATAACAAGATGCCTTTTGACTACACTAGATATGATTGCAGTGGTTTGAACTCTTTGATTAAACAGATCATGGAGATGGACCACATCAAGCTATCAGAGGAGGCACGGTCATATAAGAAGTGCCTTGAAGATATGAATGAAATGAGGTTTACCATTCATTCCACTTGTAAGTTAGACATGCTAAACGCTTTCCAGGTGATGACATTTTTGAATTTCAAGATAAGATATTTGCTTTTCTTTATCTGATCCTGGCTGTTTTATTTTTGCAATAGTAAATCAGCAAGTAAATTTGCACAATGATCTGAAGACTAAGTTTATTGAAGGGGCCAGAGAACGGAAAGAGCTCTACAACAAGGTGTTAGAGTTGAAAGGTTAGGAGTTTACTATTTTTGACTTGAAGAGGCCCAAGAGGGTATGAGACAGAAGGGCGTTTCTGACATTAATTTTTCTCGCTTGTAGGAAACATACGGGTCTTTTGCCGGTGCAGGCCTCTAAACACTGATGAAGTTGCAGCAGGAGCTTCAATGGCTATTGATTTTGAATCTGCTAAAGATGGTGAACTCACTGTCAAATCAAATGGGGTCACCAGAAAGACCTTCAAGTTTGATGCTGTATTTGGTCCTCAAGCAGAACAAGGTATGCAGACAATGATAGATGAGCTTTTTGTTTGGTATATCTATTGAAGTACAAAACCTCCTTGTAGTAATATGTTTCCTTCTCTTTGTCCTATTTAGCTGATGTTTTTGAAGACACGGCTCCATTTGCAACATCAGTTTTAGATGGGTACAATGTGTGCATATTCGCATATGGGCAGACCGGAAGTGGAAAGACCTTTACAATGGAAGGGACAGAAGACGCTCGAGGAGTCAATTTTAGGACTCTTCAGGAATTGTTTCGTATAATTGGAGAGCGAGAAAATTTACATCGATATGATGTATCAGTTAGCGTTTTAGAAGTCTACAACGAGCAGATACGAGATTTACTAGTTTCAGGGAATCAGCCAGGAGCAGCTGCCAAAAGGTAAGATCCTTAACCATCGTTCTTTTTCCTTCTTCCAATTTAACCTGGTGAAAGATCCTTATACTGTTGTATATTACTTGATATTTAAATTCCTGTGTAGAAGGAAAGCCATTTTTCATAATAAGACATGCTTTTATTTTTTCATAAAATTCCACCATTTCGCTGGCAGGTAGAATACCATTATGAGCTCTGATTCTCTACATCTTAAAATGGGAAATATTTCTCTTTCCATTTTTTAACATTCATTCTTTCGAGATGTCTTACTTGTTGATACTTTCTCACTCCTGATGATTCACCATTCTGTTGAACTCTCTTGGTGTTCCGTGTCTTTCACGAGTGCGAAGGATGGGAACTTATGGGATCATTTCAAATTTTCAAGATAATAGCATCTCACAGTATTGCATGATTTTGTAGGCTTGAAATAAGACAAGTTGGTGAAGGTATACATCATGTTCCAGGACTGGTTGAGGCACACGTAAACAACATGAACGAAGTCTGGGAAGTTCTGCAAACAGGCAGTAATGCAAGGGCTGTTGGCTCAACCAATGCCAATGAGCATAGTAGTCGGTCGCATTGGTCTGTAATTTGTATATCTTGGTTGCAGTCAAATTATTTCTAATTTATATCCAATAGGCTCTGGTCTAAAGATAGATTGCTAAATGTTTGAGTGGTTTTTCTTTAAATGCAGCATACACTGCGTAATGGTGAAGGGGGAGAATTTGTTGAATGGGGAATGTACAAGAAGTAAGCTCTGGTTGGTGGATCTAGCAGGGAGCGAGCGTGTAGCGAAGACAGAAGTGCAAGGAGAACGACTCAAGGAAACTCAGAACATCAATAGATCTCTGTCTGCCCTTGGTGATGTCGTATCCTCACTTGCAACTAAAAGCTCACACATACCTTTCAGGTTATATAAGTAACAATTAACACTATGTTTGAATACTCTAAATATGAAAACTGGGTCCAGCTATAATACTGAATTATGTCTTATGTGCAGGAACTCTAAGCTTACCCACTTGCTTCAAGACTCTCTAGGTACTTCACTTGGATCACAGAAGAAGTCAAACGAACCTATGAATCAACAGTTCTTATTCTGAGTTATTTAATATTACGTGTTCATTTTCATTTTTCTCCGTTTTCTAGGGATGAAATTGAACTTCTGATATATATCCTTTTGTTTTGGTCTAAGATATATCTTGGTTTAGCATAATGAGAATGAGGTAAAGCTAATGAACATCCTTCGTTGTTTTAGGAGGAGACTCGAAGACACTCATGTTTGTTCAGATAAGTCCTAATGAAAATGACGTGAGTGAGACCCTATGCTCACTGAACTTTGCAAGCAGAGTGAGAGGGATAGAGTTGGGTCCTGCAAAGAGGCAACTGGACACTTCTGAACTTTTGAGATACAAACAGATGGTAATTATTCTGCACTTGATGCTACTGCAGATTCCAGATTTTGTTTAAAACTTTGATCTTTTGGTACCGTTCTTGTGATTGAATAAGTCGTCTATTAAGTTTTTAACAATATCGGATCTTTGGTTTGCTAGTTTGAGAAAACAAAGCTAGAAGTCAAGAGCAAAGATGTACAGATCAGGAAGATGGAGGAAACAGTTCATGGATTAGAACTGAAGGTAAAAGAAAGAGACCTGAAAAATAAAAACCTGCAAGACAAGGTATTTCAAGGAAAAGTCTTTTTTCACTTTATATACATAAATTATAAGAAGTTCAGTTACTAATCTGGTTTATTTTTCAGGTAAAAGAATTGGAAGCACAACTCTTAATCGAGAGAAAGCTGGCACGACAGCACGTTGACACAAAGATAGCTGAGCAACACCAGCAGCAAATGAAACATCAACAGGATGAGCAATCTATTGCACCCACAAGGCCACCATTTACAAACCGACCATTAGCAAGTCACAAGATCCTCAGCGAAATAGGCAGCACATTGGGAAAAGACCAAGTAAACCCCCTGCAACCATTGATGGAGAAGACCAACAACAAGCCCTCAGCGCCCCTTTTTCATGTATCGGATGGTTTTATCAAGCATCTTGATGCCACGGAGAAAGAAAACAACCCCGAAATGGCTGAACACTTTCTTGTTCCAAAGAAAACTGGAAGGGCCTCTACTTGTCCAGCATTTCAGCGGATTCCAGTAAACACAGCTCCAAGGCGCAACTCCCTAATCCCACTTCCAAGTGTACCATTTCGTGTCCAATCCCCACCACCTGCATTACCATTGGCACCTATAGTATGCCATGCTGATAAGAAAGTTGATCCAGATGTGACTGAGACTGACTGCTTGCCGGAACAGATACCTTGTAGTAGTCCTAAAGTCATCAGAAATGGCAGCAAAAAGCTAAACAGCATACTGAGACGAAGCGTCCAAAAGAAAATCCAGATAAAATCCCCAATGCCACCGCACATGAGAAAAGGCGTGAATGTAGGGATGGAGAAGGTTAGAGTCTCTATTGGAAGTCGAGGGAGGATGGGGAACAGGGTGTTACTAGGAAATGCTAGAAGAGCCGGAACTAAAGAAAGCCAGAAGCCTAATAGTCATAGGGAAAAGGAGAGGGGGTGGAATATTATTGGTACAGCAGCGAGAACTGCTACAAAAAGCTGATGACGATGTATGTACTTTATTCAGCCATGGTGCGAGCACAGAGGTTATATTCTTGTAGCCTGCAGGTGTGGAGAGAGAGGGAGAGAACTAATCATTTGTTTATTTACTGATGTACAGAACTTCCGAATATGTTTGAGAATGCCAATATTATGTGCCTTGTGGTGACACCTGATTAAAACTGATAGGTTCTGCTTTTTCCGATACAAGTAAACAAAAACCAAAAAATGTTGTCTCGTCTGAGAATTCTTTGATGTATCAGTACCGAAATCAAACTAGTCGCGACTAGTATTAACGTGACACATAAATCATTGTTAATGACCCATTATTATTTGAAGACTTGGTCGTTCTGTTTTCAATTTTATGTAAGCTGACTGAGTGAAGCTGCAAGGAAATGATGGAAGTGATCACTGCAGTTGGAGTCGTTGAACCCAAAAAAAATTCCGAGTTTGAATTACCCTTCCCCCTTCCCAATCTCACTCGAGACGACTTAGGAGCCTGGTTAAGTATCATTTAAAGATGATAATTCTGTATTGGAAGACTGTTTCTTGAGTGAGATTGAGCAAAGTTTTTATATAGATGTCGGCAACGAGGGACTTTTGTGTTCGCTAGCTTAGAAAGTTCATGGCACATCCCCTATAGTTGACAAAGATAAAATATATCAGGTTAGAATATTTGCCTTCTTGGAAGGCAACTGGCAATGAATTAGCATTTCGGATTTGTTGGTCGCCTCCTGTAAGTGAACCTACATGGTTCACAAATCCTCCATTGCAATTTGCATTGGTGTTTTTATTTCAACTTGGTACTTCATAGGAAATCTGAGAGAGAGATGGAAGGCATGAATCCTTCTCTGTATGAAGCAGCCGCAACTGGTGATGTGCTTCTTGGAAAACATTAGAGACGGTCATCAACAGCTGTTCTCTTTCAGAAAACACCCCTCCGCCAAAATTGCATCAAACTACCTTTCTAAATATTCTAATGGTGGCCAATCATCAAGATAATTAAATAGTTTCAAACACGATGATTAATAATTCAAAATTTGCATGCATAATATCATAAGCAAATTGAAAAGAAACTATATATTCTTGTTAAGGCTCGTGGCCTTGCCCTAGCAAACGAAACTAGTTACTAACAACCATAAAACAAAATATTATTAAAAACATGGATATAAAACACCTAGAAAATAAACTTGAATTGTCAAAAACTCTCCAAGTAGTGCGTGCGTTCTCCCCTCCTTTACCCTAATGGCTAAAAAACCTTATTTACACTACTACCATATAAAATCCTACCTAGAAAAGGTCTTCTAAAAATTAGGAAACATAAAAGAAAAAGATAACTAATAAATAAAAGGTTTCCTATTTAAATTGAAATTCGGACTTCTCAGAAAATCAGACTTTTGACCAACCAAATCAACTCTGATTTTGTCCCAAAAGGTCTTTTTTTAAAGCTTAAGACATATTTAACAAATTCTCAGAAGGAATCTTCCTCAAAATATGTCACCTTGACCTTCAAAATACCCAAAATCCAGAAATGTCAATCTAGGAAAGCTGCATGTTGGGTCTTTATCTTATCGCCACGGTCAAACGGCTTGGTAGAAAAATCTGGAATTTTGATACAATCATCTTGAAAGACTCAAGAACATCCTTCAATTAGAATCACTCCAAAATTCATCCGTTTGATCACTTTTTGCTCAAGTGGAAATCGAATGTCCTACATTGAAAATACATAACAAAGTATCAAAGTTCTACCAAAATAATCAATAAACTATAACTAAGAATATGATAAAATATATGGTGTAATATCAACTCATCAAATACCTCCAAACTTAGCTTTTTGCTTGTCCTCAAGCAAGACAACTAGAAAATTTAAAACTGACAAACTAGAAACTTAAACAAAACTAACTAAGACACAAAAAATTTCACCTTCAAGTCACAATCCATAGAAAACGTTAAAAATCAGAACATCTTTTCAAAAGTTCCAATTAATCCCACCACAAAGTCTTAGCCATTTAGAAGCAATTAGAAAAGAACTCATGAACTTCCCCTGGTGTAAAGTTAAAGAGACGCAATTAAAACCCTTACCACTCGTCTTTTTTATTTAACACTTCACACATAATAATTTGATATATATATATATATATATTTTCTTTTTTTTTTCTTCTTTTAGTAACAGTAGTGGTCGTGCAATGCTAATTCCCTTAAGCTTTCGTTCCAACCCATGTAATGAGCTTTAAGTCAATGACTCTCAAACCACTAGGGCACTAGGTGTAGAACATCCCTAAGGACTTATTAACTCGAGCTAAAATGGCTACAAAAGCAACTAGTCACCCTGCCCCATGCCAAAACTCTATCGTTTGACATGAGAATCACTACTGATCAGGCAGGACTGGCCCGGTTACTAAGCAAAGTCTTAGGTGGAACAATTATTACTTTATTTATAATAACTAACTTTACTTTATTAAGAAAATAAACATTAAAATACACTTAGACTAAAAGTAAGTGTTTCAATCTCACTCCCCACAAACCATGTTGGTGTGGATGTGCAAATTTTCAAAGTATAATTCATGAATTAGTGTCTAAGCAACGATTAATAGAAAAGACTCTACTATGGGATTAATCTTCACCATATCCATTTGTTCTAACGTTTAAATTAAAAGAAAACTAATGAAAAGGGTTTGAAAACTTTGAGTTTTAATGATAAGGACAAAATAAAGGGTAAAGTGAATAATACCAGGATTGACTTTTTAGTGTAAAAATATGGTTTTTCGTTAAAGTGAACAGTACCGTGGGCTTTTCATTAAAACTCCCTTAAATTAATTTATGGATATTAATTAAAAAGAATGAAAATTTTTATTGACACAAAAATTTAAAACCTAAATTTTTTAATTTCCCATCCCTAAACTTAAATCACACATTGTCCCAAGGTGTGGAAAATAAATAGAAACGGAATAACAAAAAGAAGAACTGTAAAAGATAAAACGAAAGCCTACAATAAATAAACTAGAAGAAAGGGGAAAAATAGCAAAGAAACAAAAAAATTAAAATAAACAAATAATAAAACAAAAAGAAAAGAACAAAAAAAGGAAAGGGATCACCTGGATTCGAAATCAGGACCTGGAGCTTGTAATGGACACACCTGGGATGGGATATGACACCATCCGTGGGGGACAAACTTAGGGCCGTGCCAATTGATTAGCCAATTGATGTGCAAGTTCACTTAAGATGAATACCATGTTTTAACAGCATCATAAGGCAATAATAAGTGGGGAATAAGATGTTTGTCAATTATGTGTTTTAGGGGAGTGGTTGAATCCTTCATATTCAGCCGTCTTTGTGAATGAATCTTTGTAATAAAATAGAATCCCCTTCAGCGAAACTTACGTATCCGCCAAACTGACTTCAATCTTGTATTTAATGCCCACAATTTTTGCTTTGGCTAAATTTCGTGATGGAGAATTGGGCAGCCATTAAGCTGCATCTTCTTTCCATTGTAGAATGTAGTCTACTCAATGGACTTGCACTTAATTTCTTCAATTATGATTGGCTTTACTGGTGCACTGTCATGTGATTTTGCAGATCCTAACTCGGTATCAACAACCTTGTCTAACCCATCAGTTTCAACGCAGTCCTGCAGTTTTTGTGGGAAGAGTTCGTGTGGCACATTAACATGGGTAGCACTCGGTTCTGGGAGGATTTCAGGATCAGCATGTGTTGTTAGTTCCTTTGGGTGTGAATAAGTGGCAGATTACTCCTCAATTCCTGCACCAATCTCCTCCTGATCATTAAAGCTCTTTCCACAATTTAATGCTTGAATCAGAAATCCTTGATTGGTTATTTCAATGTACAACTCAGTTTATTCCAACAATTCAGAGAGCTTGTCCTTTACCGAAAGCTCTTGTGACACATTAAACTGCTCAAAATAGTGCTCAAGATGCATTTGCAAACTTAGGGTGTAGAACTCTGAATATGGATTGTTCCAATTTCTTTTTGAGTCATTTCTCATGTTGATATGCTCTTGGACAAACCCTGAAAAATATTTCCTTTCAGGACATTGCAAAATATCATGGGTCTTCAAGCAGTAAAGTGCACAAGTTGTAGGTTTAAATCCATAAAAACCCCATTCTGCAGATTTAACCCATAAAGGCTGTCCTTCGGGTTGTATATTGAATTCAAGAGGAGGTATAAATTCCATTGTTGCACAAATTGTAACCTAAAAAAAAACAAAAAATAAAATCAAGTAAATAAAAGATATATGCAAAAATAATTAACTAAGAGTTGATAGACACAAATTATTTAGAACAATCCTCGACGACGGCGCCAATTTCTTGATAGGGATTTTTACCACCTGCAAAAGTAGGGATAAAAACACTTAAAAATATTTGCAAGAGTATAAGGTTATTGTAGTATAGCAACTCAAGTAAGGTCGTTCTCCACAGGGATTGAATGAATAATTTATGTAAATATCAAATCTTAATTAATTATTTGAAAACAAAGTTTAGAAGAGGTTGATTTTATGACCTAAAATATTAAAAACGAATTTAATTAAAAATAATTAAATAAATTGGCAAAGTAAATAAAACAAAAGAAAATAGGTATGAAAATAAATTTGAGTACTAGGGTTCCGCCATTACCTTAACAATCCTACGTAGTTCTTCCACTTACTTGTAACTTACACATGCATATTTGAAGATTAGGTTTTCCTAAAGTATGCCCTACTTGGAACCTCCAACATAGAATGTATATCTAACATACAACACGTCCATGGCATCTATATCGAATGTGAACATACAAGACTCATTAAGTTTTGTGAAAACATTTATAACCCTTAAGACGTGTCGTCCGTCCTAAGAAGTTACACATATTAACCACAAGAAACCTTAGTCAATTCCAAGGATAGCCTTCCACCAAAATTGCATCAAATTACTTTTCTAAATATCCTAATGGTGGCCAATCATCAAAACAATTAGATAGTTTCAAACACGATGATTAATAATTCAAAACTTGCATGCATAATATCATAAGCAAATTGAAAATAAACTACATATTCTTGCTAAGGCTCGTGGCCTCGCCCTAGCAAACGAAACTAGTTACTAACAACCATAAAACAAAATATTATTAAAAACATGGATAGAAAACACCAATAAGCTTGAATCGTCAAAAGCTTTCTAAGTAGTGTGTGTGTTC